CTATTATTAAATATGTAAATATATAAGAGTCGTACTTAATATAAAATGTATATGTGCAAATATCAAGGATAAAATCGTATATTATTTCTTTACAAGAGTATAACAATGAAGTATTGTTTGCCTCAACATGAGAATATTTTTTTAAGCTTTCCTCTCGATTAATGTTTATATAAATGCTCATAAGATTAACAATCTATTTTTAAGCAACATGAGATTGTAATTATTTATATTGAATTAAGAAAATTAACATTGCGAATTAAAGTTACTTCTTTCTTATATTAACATTCTTCTTCTCTGATAAATCACTTTAAAACTAGACACTTACCAAAGCAGATGCTATCTTAACGATTTTCAAATTATCATATTCTTTATTATGGTATATTTACGGGACATTCTATCTCTTCTTAAAAGGTTAAATAAAAGTCTTGTGTGAAAAAAAACATGCCACAATTATTTATAGATGAAAAATTCTCGAAAACAAATTTAATTATAATGTGTAAAAATTTATATATAATTGTTTATATTTCATGATCGAGTGCAAAAAATAATTGATCAAAGATCTGTACTTATTTATTGTAATTTTGCAATGTAAAAAGATTGGATTGTTAATAAGAGATGAGAAGAAATTTTAACCCGAATATATATGTATATACATACATATCTTTCAGGATAATCAGCAAAGTAGTGACTTTATTGAAATGTATTGCTCGGACAGGATTTGTGATAGTAAACAATGTCTATTGCATACCTACGTACGTAGTATGGATGATGCTATTATTTCCTGTGAAAGTATATCAACCACAAGTGTATTGGCGAATCGAAGGCCTATTTTTCCACTGGTTGTTGGCAATGGTGTCGATGTGGTCATGGTCTGCAGGTTACGACGGTAAGTACAGACAACATGAGCGCAAATTAAAGAGGAATCAGTGCTAAAGATCTATTGATATTTCTAAATATTTCTCTCGTTCGACAGTAATAGAGCAAGGGGATGACATCCAAAAGATTGTGAATGAAAGGACATTAGTTATAGCGAATCATCAGAGCACTGGCGATGTTCCTATATTAATGACAACATTTAACGCCAAACCGAATGTTCTACCCAATTTAATGTGGATAATGGATAGGGTGTTCAAATTTACTAACTTCGGCATAGTCTCTATATTGCATCAAGATTTTTTCATCGTATCGGTAAGTAAAAGGGTAACACACACGTGTGTACTTGAAATGTATAAGTCTGTGAGATTCAGACAGATTGTATGTATGTTGAACAACTGCAGGGCCGTAAACGAAGAGAGGAGAGTTTAAAACAGTTAGAAAGACATCTCAAAGAGTCTTACATACCACGGGAGAGGAAGTGGATGGTGCTTTTCCCAGAAGGGGGTTTCCTGTGCAAGAGGCGGGAGACCTCGCAAAAGTACGCTAAGAAGAACAACTTGCCTATTCTTGAGAATGTTACTCTGCCGAGAGTGGGGGCTATGCAGACGATATTCGAGACACTCGGACCAGCACGGAGTAAAAATACAGAAGATCAACAGTTAAACAGTCGACCAAGTACAATCTTTATCTCATGAAAGACATATTATCGTATTAATTTGATTGAATCTGTCGACATACTTGTGATATGTAAACCTTTGTACTCGCTACAAAAACAATCGTCGTTCGCATACGTAATAAAATTTATTATATGTTATTTTCCATAGGTATGACGGTAGCTAAACCAGAAATTAGTTGGGTTCTTGATATAACAATAGCGTATCCTCAAGGTAAGCCGATCGACTTGCCTACGATCATAACTGGCTCAAGACCGCCGTGCGAGACAGTGTTGTTCTATCGACTTTTCCCTAGTTCAGCGGTAAGTTTTTAAACATAAAATCGATCGTTTTGCCACGAATCAGCGCTTGAACAATGTTCATTGCAACGTGATGTAATATTGTTACAGGTTCCGCGTGAGCCGGAACTGTTATCTAAATGGTTGTACGACAGATGGGTGGAGAAAGAAGCGCTTTTGGAACATTTTTATAAATACGGAACGTTCCTCGGCACGAACGAGTCGAGGCGGGAGGGTTGCAAAATACATCAGGATCCGTTAAGATTCCTAGTCCTTCATGTATTCTTCATAATGTCTAGTTATATACACTATAGCATGTTTAGGTACGTGCTATCATGCTTTTGGTAAGATAATATTTTATACGTCACGTTAAGACGCACGACGCAGTCCAGTCTAAAGAAGGAAATCACAGAGAGTAGCGAAGTAAGATATCCCTGCCTTAAACAATTTCGATGTCGAGAAGAGTAATTCCAACGAATGTGCGAATTATCAAACCGACAGATCTAGTTGAAAAATCAATCGCGACACTTCTTTTTAACGAAAAACACACAGTTCACACACACACACACACACACACACACACACATCCAACAAACAAACGGCATTTACCGTGAGACCTGTTACGTGAATTTAAAAATATTAAGTTAGTGTACCTTGTATCTCGTTTCAAAACATAAATAAATTTTATATTTAGCACGAGAAAGGAAACACACTCGAAATGTCGTCGAACACAAATGAAATGTACTTGAAAAATTCGTGTCTGTACGATGTTTCTGCGACTACACGGTTTCAAAAGTGATTTTTTATCGTTATGTCATCCACTTACACACGTTTACTGTATGTCATTCATTTCCTCTATGTAAATTAATAGATTGCATAACGAAAACACTTTTACAAATCAACAATATTTGTATATTCTTTCGACGGTGATGGAATATTTTTAAAATGGAATATCGACGAGTGTACGACAACGTCGACTTGTGGATTCATTTCTTTTTCGTTACTTTAAATATCGGTGGATTAAGGTGTATTTATTTAGAAATTATTGGTGGTAACACTGAGAAGACACGTTAGAACGCATTGGCGAGAGACGAGATTCTGATCTCTCTCAAATATAATCCTTTTTTTTTTCTTTTTTTTCTTGGAGACGGCATAACGTTTTTTGCTACTAATTCTTGCGAACGCGTGAATATAACTAGGCTAGATTACTCAACTCTAAATCCAAGCGATTTAAACGGCTGTTAGTTCGCACGATCGTATTGTATACGTTGCATAATAAATATTATACGATTTTGTAGATAGCCGAGTTTTAGATGTGACAATTCGATTAATTTCTATTATCCTCACATATACGGATGTACGGGTGGATGTGTTCGCGCGCACTTATTCGCACTCATTCTCAAGTCTCTCTCGAAGCCTGAAGCCACGAAGCATTATGTAAAAATATTTACATAATATCTCGCGTCACGCGCGCGCGTGTTTTTATAATGTCGAGCTCGTTATACGAGGATGACAACACACATTCTATATGTGAGATGAAATTACCGAGGAGGAATTTTCTGCTGCTGCTGCTGATGATGATGAGACAGCGGAGATGCGGCAAAAGACGAATCTTTCAAAGAAATATATATATATATATATATATA